AAATCTATTTACTGCTATTTATTTTTGTATTTAATTTGCTAACTCTGCCAAATGTCTATCACTATTTAAGTTACAAAATATTTATCACAGACAGGAAAAAATTGCCACCACTGGTACATTTAGTGGGCTACCCTAAAAGTAAACTCAGTTTCTTAGTGGAACGGTAACAGACAGTGATTAAAAAACAGGTGTTAATTGAAGCATTTGAAGAGAAGATCAGGCAGTCGTGTTTCAGAAGCTTCAGACTTGGCCTGTAAAGCTACCAGCAGGGTCTTCTCTTTTTGAAAATAAACTATGAATGTTAAGAAAGTGTTCTTGAAATATTTGGATATTTCCGTGTTGAAGTGTTTAATTCTCGAAAGCCTGTGAGTTCTAGAAGCAAACACCTTTCTAAAAGCAGCTATTCAGACACCTCACCTAGTAATATTTGTAAGCAAGAAAGAAAATGTCACTAGGATTAAAAAAATGAAAACTGAGAGAGTTTTTTTTAGTGTTCTGACTGCTCTTGCTGGGGTGAGCAAGACAGAACCAGGAAGCCCTTTGGGCAGTAGAGGAAGCAGCTCCTGGAGTGCCCCAGTTCTGACAAGCAGAGCGGTTGTGCACGCGCACAGGAGCTGGGACTGCCCAGCTTTTGGCCCATACAGTCACACTCTGCAAGCAGCACATGCTGCACAGGGAAAGGGTAAGAAATTGGTAGAAAAGTAGCAGTTTTTAAATAGTACAGAACAAAATACTTTTGTGTTTTTGCCAATAGGCAACAGCGCAGGAGAAGCAAGAGATTTCCACCTGTGAAGTGTGCAGTGCAAGGCCTGCTACTGCTCAGAGACTGCATGTTTGTGGAAGATGTTGATTATTTACATTCCTTTCTTTCAGACTTTATCCTGGAAGCTGCTTCCTGTAAATAGTTTGTAATGTAAAAATGAATGTATTTTCCTAACTGATGTCCATACTCCGCCAAAAGCATGGAAAAGGACAAAGTCATTTTGTCAGTTATTTTGTCAGTTTTGTCATAGGAATGTGTGGACAGATTCCTGCAGAAATAAAATCTGTGGCTAAACAGAATAAACATTCCTATTAGCATAATAACTTAGCACATGAAACTGGGCTTTCATAAAAGCTAACAACTCCCTCTTGCTGTTTAATGCTTCAAGTGGTATTGTATTTCCACTACTTGGAACCAGCAAGAGGAAGGGCACTGCAATTCTTTCCCAAATTCACCCCAAAGTGTATCATGTTTCACCAAGAAAAGTTTACCTGGGTATTTACCAATACCTGAACTTTAAACTAAGTGACTGCATGTACATTAATGAAAATACTGGAACAGGTTCATTAGCCTTACACAGTTACAGATGTCTATAGGCTTACAATGTTAGGGTTTTTAAATAAAAAGCCAAATTATTTTGCTGTTCTCTTTCACTGTGATAGCAGCAGAAGGGGGTTTTGACTGTGACTGATGATAAAGATACTTACACTAGTAAGCTATTCCCACAGTTAGAAAAATTGTGTTAGAAATAGTACAAAACTGCTGATTTAAATGGCCACAAGACTTCAGGCTAGTGCTATGCCTGTGGTGCACAATATGACATGACTACTGATGTCCCCTTTGCTTCTCCATGATTGTTCTTTGTTTTTATATCTGTGTGATAAAAAAGCACTAGTGGATGACAACATGGATATAAGAACTTTCTGTGTTGAATCCAATTAATTAGCAAGGGTGTCTGGTAGCCTACTGTGGTATTACAGGTGATATTAATAATTTTCAGAGCTGCTAAAGATAAAAAAAAACCCCAAACCCAAAAAAAACCACACCAACAAATAAGAAAACAGGTAAGGGCAAACTGAAGGACATTAAGCATTGTTTAAAATGCCACAAAAACACCAAAATGAAAAAATTCTCAGTGAGGTCAAACTGCTACTGTGTTAAAATAACAGAGAGAACGAAGCTAACATTTAAAAATAATGGTTGCATTAGTTGAATTGTGAAGCAGGTTGATGTATTTCCCAGTAATTCCTAAGCATTCCAAAGCAAACTGTACATATAAAATGATATGTAAATTGCCACTTCTTAACATTTTGCTTGGGATCAGTTTTTGCCTTGGGCAGGGGGGGGAGGGAGCACATGTCCCTCACAGGGGCTGCTGTTGGAATTGGTAATTAGTGATGGGCTGAGCTGGCTGGGGGCTTGAGTTGGGTCATGCTGCTGATTTACAAAATGCTGCTTTGGTACACAAAGTTCAAAACTTTTGTTAAAGATGAGCAGTGGGAAGTGCATGGCCTCTCTGAGGATATGCCACTGAGAAATTTGACTTTCCTGAATGTCTGTGGTTATTTTTCCTGAAAGCTGGAAGTGACCTCAAGAGGGCACTTCTTTGCTTTGGTAAATGGCTATTTCATAGGCATTTTCTGTAGTGTATAGAAAGACACTGAAAGACATCAGTTTCTGGTGACAGAATGTATGTTCTGTCTGCTTGTTTATATGCCAGTTAATTACTTGGTTTACTTTTATTTCACTTTCTTATTCATAGGGGGGGCATTAGCTGTCCTGAGACTACTGCCTGTAACTTCTTTCCTCTGTTTATGGTTTGCACTAGTGAAACAAAAACATGTGCTGAGCAGTTTGTTCCCTACAGACACATTTCTTGTGGGAGATCAAAGGGATGTCTGATTGCAGCAGTTGTGTAATTTGTGCCCCTGTAATGGATTATTTTAAATAACTAAACACATCAGTAACTCCTGTGGAGGGAAAAAAAAGAGACTACCACAACTAATTCAGATAACAAAAGATGAATTCAGGACATGTAAAACTTCCCAACAGTGTTTCTATGTAAACAGAATTGTCAAGAGTTATAAAGTTCTTTATACTCTCTGGGTTTAACAGACAAGTAGAAGGACAGTTCTTGACTATATGGAAAAATGTGGTTTGAATTCAAAATTTTGAAGTATTAATTACACTTATCAATGCATTGTTTTGACTTTGGTCAGTACTGGGTATTATACACCTTGTGCTGAAAAGAAACCAGAAAAGTTCTAATATTTTTTTCCTCTAAATCCAGAGAAAGATAAAAAAGTCTTAATTTTCTAAAAAGTAGTATTGGATAAATATACTATACACTGGCATGTACTTTGAAACATGATAATAAATATTTTTTTTAAACACATGCCTGGAAAACTAAAATTTTTAAGAAGAAAATGTTGTTCTTTGCCAAGGTCTCACTACCAGTAAGGTGTTTTCAGCTATTGTACATTATTTTGTTAATGAAGATAAATCATAAATTATTTTGAGTGTTTTGTGTATATTCACCAAAGTTAAACAGATATGCAAAGGAAGTTACAGTATATTTAAATCTCTTTACAATCACTTAACACAGTGTTTAACAGTAATCCTCAGGTAAAAGTGCGTTATTTTAATATAATACACATAAAAGAACACTGGTTCTCTGCCTTCAGATTCCTTAAAGGCAACAAGCTAAAATTATCTTTTGTTTAAAAACGGGAGGGTGATGACACGTGTTTGTTTACAACACACAGTCCAAGAAAACTCCATCCGCCTATGGAGAATCTGCAGATGTGATGGTACAGGAAGAGAGGAATCTTCCAAGAGCTAACAGGCATCTTTCCCATCTACAGCATCCCATTTAGGATTCCCAGATTCTGGATGCTAATCCAGCATTAACATCTGTAGCACAGGGCACAGAGTTGCTGACCAGTTCAGTCCGCAGCAGGATCCTTCAGAGGCACTGCAGAAGGATTCAGTCATGTAAATTCCAGGTTTGAGTTTTAGGAAAAGAAAGTTAAAAAAACAACCAACCAAACAAACAAGAATATCCAACAAAACAAAACCCCAGCAAAACAAAAACCCAACCAAATGAGGAAGAGGGAAAGTGACTCTGATTTTCCCATAATTTACTTTGCTTTCCCTGAATTCAGATTGTTTTAATGCATTGGAGAGGGTTTATAGCAGCCTCAAAATAAGCTATCAAATTCATCCTTTCCTATTTGAAATACCTTGCAAATGGAAACAGTGCTTGAATTCTGTTAAATTAGTGACTTAGCAGCATTACAATGCATGTCAAATAATGCTTTAAGAATTAGATGCATACAGAACAAGAAATGTAATCTTAAATTTGCCATCTATGAGGTGGGATTATCAACACTGAGAAAGATTTCTTCATTTGCAGTGAGCTGCAACTTCCCAGCTGCTGTCACAGTGCTGTAGTAGCAAGTGTCTGGTTAGTGTACAGTGCTGGGCAAGTGGCACTTACTATCTCCATATAAACAGGATGGTCTTTGTTGTGTATTTCAGTTGTTTGAAGTCAAGCAAGATGGAAGAAATTGAAGAGATACAGAAAGGGTAGTGTAAATGTTTAAACATGTCTGGCAAAATTTCCATGGACAGAAGTTAACACTATAAACTTGTTCTAGCTGAAAAAGAGATCACCAATCCTGATGATTTTATTATCTAGATATAATAAAATAAAATCTCTACTGCTCACTTCCATTTGCCACGGCCCAGAGCAAAAGAGTAACAGAACATCACTGCTTAAGCACAGCTGTTGATAAAAATGAGTACTGCAAAATCAACCGGGATGCAACATTTTTGCATTAAATGGACAGGGAAAGTGGGTAAAACTCCACCATTCTGATTCACTTGGAGACCTTCCTGATGTCATCGTGGCTGTGCACAACAGTGTATGAGGCTTTTATGGCTCACTCTGTCAGTCCTTGTACCTCACTTGGTTTGATCAGCTACAGCCTGGTAGCAGGACTGCTCTGTGAATGCTGCACTGAATGCCTGCTCAGTGCTCGGGTCAGTGTCTCATACCTGAGCAGGCCTTGTGTGGCAGCAGCCCGGACTATTCCATGATGTCACTGAAGGCCAAGGCGCACGCGGCTCTCTCGTCCCTGCCCTGGGGACTGTCCGACAGGACCTGCAGCGGCGGCGACACGAAGCCCCGGTACTGCTTACTCGACTTGGTCAACTTCTTCAGTTCACTGGTGAAGGAGATGCCTTTTCTCTTGTCATCTCGTGCTGCCTGTAAAAATTAAAAAAGATCATAGAGGTGGTTTAACAGCTGCTTGTTTGCTGGGAGGTAAGGAACGAGTACGAAAACACCTAACGTGCTGCTAAGCGGCTTCCCTTTAGGAATTCAGTACGGCTGTGCTTTCATCCAGACACTTCCTTCTGATTGTTCTGAATAAATCAATTTAAACTATGCACTGTTAAAGATATGTTTAGCAAATCTGGTAATCTGTGCTTGTAATACAGGTACTTTAAAGCAACAGCAGCTGTGGGTTGGTGGTGTTTGCTGGAAAGGAGAACACAGCTCCTTCTCCCAGCAAGCATGTACTTCATTCTTGCCATTTTTCCAAGCCTGAGATAAAGCAACAGAACAACTTTTTCACTGGGCAGGAATAAAGGGGACTTTATTCCAGTAGCTTTTAAGTTCTGCCCATTTGAACAGTCCTTTGTTATTACAGGGAACATAGCATGCACAGCCAGAAGGTTTTGAGGAACAGAAAGCTGGTAGTAGATAAAGGTGGTTGTGGATTTGCAGGCTGTGAGAAAATAGTTTTTCTGGATGTAACTGATGCAGTTTTGCAAAGGAAAAAATAAGGGAGGTTCAGAGAAAAGAGGAAATCTGCTTTTTGCTGTAGTCTGTCCTTTCCACCTCCCCTCATGCCAGTCGTGTCTCCTTTGCATGGAAAGCAGGTTCCCATTAAGCTGATCACACACCATCTGTAACACCTACTGTAAAGTCTTGCATCTTTTACCTGAACCTGTTCTTTGAGCTTAAGGATAAATTTTCCTGCTCCCTTCCACTTGCTTTGGGCCTGAAACACACACTCTTGATCGGAGAGAATCCTCTGAGATGGTTTAGATGTTGAAGACTTTTTGTTTGCTGGCTCTTTTGTCACCTCTTCCAAGAGCACATAATCACTTGGGTTTGGATTACTCAAAATGCTGTAGGAGTATTTGGCTTTGCAGAGAGTCTGTTTAAAAGCAGAAAAACAAAACAAAAAACAAATCATTCTCTCAGATTCACATTACTAAACCAATTCATCAGCTAGTGCTGGGAACAAACTCCACCTTAGCTTGTTTGAGACCAACTTCCAGCCCACATGTTGAGGTGGGCACGTGCCCTTACCTGCTGTATGACATCCTGAGCTGTGCTGAACCGTGGAGCTTTGATCACGGTGCGTGGTTGCTCTGGGGAGACATCGTGTACCTGAACAAAGAAGCTGTCATCCTCAGAGCTGATGGCTGCTTCTTCCTTTGCTTCATGAAAGACATTTCTCTCATTTAAATTCTACAGAGAAAATGACAGACAAATTCATTTACTTTAGTGAGGTAACTAATAGCTGGTGGTCACACAAGGGTTTTATTACATGGAAATTGGAGGCTCTGCGGTTGCCTCAGCTCCATTTTGTTAAATGCATTATAAGAGAGTTTTGACAAGCCACTATTGCTAATAAATAATAATAATAATGCTGGTAAATACCCATATTTTCTAAAATCAATATCTGAAATACCTTTCAAAGTAGGTGAGGAATGGAGATATTTGCATAGCATCATATTTTACAAAAATGACCCCCTAAATCCTTCCCTTATGTATACAAAATTATGTTTTGTCATGCAATGGTGCCAGTACAACGGGAGATGGTGGAGAGGGTTCTTTTCTTTCCTGTCCCTGCACTAAAGCCAAAAGAATTTAGAGAGCCAGAATGTGAACAAACATTTTCCTGTGGTGTGGAGCAAGAGAAAGGCTGCGCGTTTCTCTCTCCCTTTTCAATAACTGCTGCAGATTTTAGACAGAATTCCTCCTTGAGCCTTCTCTCAGAGAATGCAATTCTGTCCAATGCCTTGGAACACTTAGAACACACCTTGGATTATAAACTGTAAATATGGGCTGTGTATTGCACCCTGTCACTGGACCTGAACCTTGTTTTTCCAGTCAGATTTGCAGCTTCATTTCTAGCTCCAAGCTCTGAGGTGCTGCTGTCTGCAGAAAGGCTCAAATTTATGGACAGTGCTTTGAGGTACTCACATCACAGGACAGAGTAACAGCATAATTTTCACATGTGCTCAGGCAGATTTTAACCCATTTTCTGAAGGAATGGGGCTTGGCAGGATACGTGTGGCAGCACACACTGACAGAGGCAGTGCTGCAGTCAGTGGAATTCAGGAGGCCACTATTTCCATGAACAAATTTCTACCTTGTCATTTTTGTTCCAAATAGTAGATATAAAGGAAACCAAAATGTGGACTTGTTTAATATAATAGCAATTTGTCAAATTGAAGCTTTGTCAAAAGTTCTCTCAAAATAAGCAAAATAGATGTTTTTCAGTTTAAAGAATACCAGAGGAACTCTGTCATATATATGTAAAATTTGTTTACTAAGCAAGTGTTTTTATTTGCTAAACTGACCAAAGAAAGTGCCTCTGAAAATGGGATTATTAAGTGTTTTTCTCCTGCTTTTTTGTCTCTCTCACAAGCCTAGGCACTAACATATTTTAAGCTCTAGATGCTTTGCTCTTAGTGTAAACTGAAGTCATCTTCCTCCTTTAAATTAAAAGAAATCACTTATGTCATTATTTAAGTCTATAATTGATAATCTAATTATCCTTTGAGGCTTTTAAGACTTTTTAATATCAAAATTATTTCTAAATCTTTTTGACAGATGAGAAGTTGCTGCCATCTGAATTGATGGTGGTTTTCTGGAGTTCTGTTATCTGTGATCCTTTGGTATTAACTATTGTCTTTCTATTAATTTTCTATCATGGCATAATCTATATTTGCATTAAATTAGAACTATCACTCCTAACAGAGTCACTGAACCATAATGAATAAACACCACACAGCTGATACTGGAGCTGAGGGAGGTCCAGTTGGTGTCACACAGGTGTATAAAGTCCAGTTGTGCTTCTCACTCAAGAGTTATGTTTGTTTTTAAATAATGCACACAGCATTGACATTACTCACCAAGTAGTGAAACAAATACTGGATCCTTTTGTTTTTGTGGTTATAAGAGCTATTTTTAGCTACCTTTGTAAATAATAATTTATCTGAAACAGACTTACTTCCTCTCGAGTTTTAAAGATGATTCTTCCGACATATCCTTCTTCTGGGAACCAACTGTTTAAAAGCTGCACTAGCCCTTCTTCAGGACCAATCACTCTTTGGAATGGTGGTTTTCTGCATTCACTCTTTTCTTTAGATATAAAACTTTTCTCTTCCATCAGAAAATAGTCTGCAGCGCATGACTCTGTGCCTTTTATGGTAGCCAAGAGCTAAGACAGACAACACACAACAATTAGAATGCTAAATATAAACACTGCATAATTAGTAGTTATAAATGAGAATGAATAAGGAAGCTTTCAGAATCTGTAACTATTCTGACAGTGCAGGCAGGATTTCTGATGTCCTATTTATTATTCAGATATTTTACTCCAGGGTAATGTCCTGTTCTCTTTAGCCCAGCCAAGCAGTTCAACTATTCCAGACAAGGCAGTACTATTTAAGCTTATTTTGGTCCTTTTTGGCTGGCCAGAAAATTTATTCATAATCCCAGGACAGTACAGTCCTTTCCCACTGCTAGAATAACAATCCCTGCTGAGTTAACTGGTTTTTCTGCTCATGAACTTAGCCCTCTAACTTTTACTCTCTGTTCCTACGGTGCTTCAGTTCAAAGAATTGTGTGGAAATGTTTGCCTTTGTTGTAAGGAGAAACCACTGCCCCCATTGACTAGAGAGATTGTTTTTCTCATCTGCATATACCCAAATATTAAAATACTAACAGGGAATATATTCTAAGATTATAAACCCATTCTCTGAAGCCAAGATTGGAAAAAATCCACTGATTATATTCTGTATTTGCCGTGTAATTAATTCCACAGCAGTGCATTTCTAACTTGCTGTGATGAATGAACTACAATGACCCTGTGTGTGAGAAGCGCAGGGAGACAGGGATCCAGAAGGATGTTAGTGGGGATGCTGGCAATGAAGAGCCTGCAATTCAGCAGGAAGCTCACCTGATGGAGCAGCTGTGCAGCTGTGGTCCCTGCACTTACACTGAAAACAGTGAAAGGCTCCGGGCCTGGAATTCCATGAACTGTCACTTTGTAAGTCACAGCAGCTTTCCTTTCTCCCAGGCTAAACAACTGTTCAGACAACATTCAGCAGGTTACTGGACATTTTTACACAGGCATGTTATTTCTAGTTTGCTTAAAAGAAACTGTACACACAAGTTGTAAGGGCCTTGACAAAGCAAAGCTGTTCAGGTCATGCATGGCTCTTTCTTACACTACAGATCGAAGCATCTAAAAACCCCCAAACAGACCCTCCAAAAGCCTCCATAGTATCTTGAAGCTGAAGAGAAAGAAGAAAAAGGAAGTTTTCCAGTGGGAATACATCAACTACCACTGGACAAAGGGTCAACCTCCATCACTCATTCCCCATTCTAGCTGAGCTCAGATATTTAGATTCAGCATACGGATTACTGGTTGTAAAGCTATAGCTTTGTTTTAACCTCCAAACTATTTGTTCTTCCTTTCTACCCTAGTATTTTACCAAGATACAAGTTTGGCATGTATTCACAGGAGGTAATATCTGCAACACATCTGCTGCACACCCGGGTGCTCAGAAGGTTTTATCTAACACTCCAGGAGTCAGCAAAGTGACAAAAATGTATGTTTAAAGTTGCCAAAGCACAGGTAACCCAGGTAACCTAACAGTAAAGGCTTTTAAACAAAAATCACACCTATGTATGCATATTTTTAGATATACAAATATCTATTTGTATGTATACATATTTGCACGTACAAACATATGGATGTGCACGCACATACATAAATCTGTATATATTTATGGAACTACAGAGTTCATCTTTTCTTGTAATAGAAATCAATTTTACTCTCATTATTTCAAATGTGCTGGTAATTTGCATCTTCCTCTTTTTTTTTGGTCTCAAATGCTTTGCTTACAATTCATGCACAAAGGAATGCATGAGGCTGCATTGAACCTGACTGCTCATCCACATTCACCCAGTTGTGGAGCACATTTCTTGTTCTATACCTAAATAAAGCAGAGGAGCCAGACTTTGAAAAGATTTACCTTCCCACAGTTTTATCCAGGTGGGATAACCTTACTTCTACCAAAGAAAAAAAAAAAAGTAGGCATCAAGGTTATGTCTGAAGAATGTGCAGGTTTGAGGGCTAACATCTTTGAACACTCTGGCCCTATAAATCTTCACATCATAGTAGTTATTAAACTAAGAATACAGGTAACTTGCATACAAACAAAAATTAAATTACCATAGATGCAGGCAGGGTGTTTCCAGAGGGACTTTCTTCCATTCTCCGACTGTTTATGAACAAACTGGAAATTTCTAATGTTTCATTGTGTAGGTTATGGAGCTGAACATGTCTGTAGCCTAAAGAGGAAAAATCTTTCTGTAAATTCTTTGCCACATCCTAGGATACAAGTCTCATAGATGAAAAGCTCAAATTTGCCATATTTATAGCTACACTTTGCCACACAGTTAGGATCTGAAGCACTCTACACTGCATTAACACTCTCAAGAGTGTAACACAAATCCTACTGCTGAGTGGCTCATGGAGCAACCTACCTTTGTTTTACCATAATATTCAATATAGTCATACGTAAAACATCTAAATATCAGAATATGAATAAAGTAAGGTCAAATTCTCATTGGAAAATGCATGTGTATGGCCAAATCCCCTCACATGCCAACCCAGACAGTTGTGTGATGTCACGGTGGCACAAAGCCAAGTGTCAAAGAGCTACTGGCAGCACAGAAACTCGCGCTCCCACATGTCGCACAATTAGTGATGTTTCCTGATCTCGCACTTTAATTCACCCTTTCTTCAACTCCCCTCCAGCCATGGCTGCAAGAAGTGCAATTCCCCTTTGCAGTGATGAGCTGTTACACCAGTTTCTTGGGCAAAGGACAAGGCAGGAGTGAAATCACTCCAAGCTTCCTAAGGGAGCAGCTCTGGTGAACAGAGCCCCAGGAGCACCCTCAGGATCTGAGCAGATGTGTACCACATGCCCCTGCCTCCACAACAGCACAGGATCGGACTTTTTACAAGTCACTGGGGCAGCTGCCAGCTCCCAGGGAGCCTTAGATTGGCATTGTACTGCCAGGCCGTGGTGTGTTGTCTGGTATTTGCTCCCTGTCTCCTCTAGAAAAATGCAATGGATTAAAAATTTCCCTCTGGGAGGATTCAGCACAGGAATCTGCTGGACCATTCTGGCTTAGGGAGCCGCCACAAACTATACTGTACCTCTCTTGAGCGCTTTTAGGGGGATGATTCTCTGAGCTGTTACAGCTGAGCTGTTATTTTCAACAACTGCGAACCGGAGAAAGACCAAATCTTCGAAGTGAACCCGGAACAGGAACTGCTCGTTCCACATGGGGTTGAGAGTATTGCGGTGGATGGGCTTCGTGCGGAAGTGGCAGCTGTCCAGGGGCATCCCCAGCACGTCGATCTCGATGCAGGGGCTGCCTGTGCTATTGCTGGGGCAAACGTTCTGGCCAGACACGATCTGCAGCCGAGGAATACAGAGAACAGTTAGTGGAGAAAGCCCTATGCCATCAGGATCCTGAGCTAAACACTGCTCAGCACACTCCTAAGCACAATTTGTTAACATGCTGAATTAATTGCAACGCTCACTTTTGTGATTGCCAGGGCAGTAAGTTCAAAAGCAGAGCTCACTCGACCCTCCCGCCCCCAACACCATTGCTATGGTATATTTCCCCTGAAAAAATACACTATACAACTGTTCAAGTCATCTGAACATTAATCCAGAAATAATGTACCAGTAATGTAGTCAAAATGGATCACATTTGCTTCTCCATTACTCGGGGGTGATGGCACTGAGCTCTGGCTTACTTTGGCACACACAACACAAGAATTAAGTGTGCAATTACCACAGCTGGGAGAATCCTGATTCTTATGAATCTCACTTTTCTGACACATTTCCTGGAAAGGACTAGCTTCTGAGAGTACATTTTTTTGGCTACAAATCCATGAATTATACACCTTGTTATATAACTTACAAAATGTATTTTTTCAAGATTCGGTACAGCTTTTCAGAATGGCTTTTGTGCAGCTTTTCAAGTGTTCACAAATGTGTAAAACATCAATGCACATGTGTAATTTTACACAGTAGTGTAGTCCCAGGGAAATGCTTTCAGGACTGAGTTTCAACAAATACTGTGAAGGAAACAGGGGAAGTAACTATGGATACAAATCAGCCAATACAATAAAATAAAGACAAATCTTTGTTCCTTTCCTCTCCAATTTCTATTAGTTTGGCTGACCTTTGGAAGCAACATTTAAAGATTCAATCTTTTAATTTAGAAGCATGACTGTAATGCTGGTTAAAGACTGTAGTTAGATTGTAGTTAGACATTGTCTACTTCTATCTGTTTGCCTGTATGAAATTCCCTTTTCATGTACTTACTGTTAAAGAATATATAGCTGGCTCCTTATTATCGAGATCTCTTTCCAATGGACAAAACTGCTGGTACATTGAACAGTTTTTATCCCACAGAACCGGAGGTTTCAAAACATATCCACAGCCACCGTTAGCCTCAAACATTGCTGCATTGAGTTGCAGAGGAAGATCTGTGAAATTAAGGCAGCCAAAACTGACAGAGAGCAATGGTACAATGGAAAAACTGTAACAGTGAAGACAAAGTCATGTTTGAAGTATCTTTTTAAAAAATATTTTAGTTGTGTACTATTCCTGGTTTTCAGAAGTAGCTGTGATTTATGTGTCCAATCTATCCAGTAATTACACAAAATTCTAAGAACAGTTCATTCTTTTCCTTTTCATTGTCTTTATTGAACTGTAGGGCTTGCCTACACCAGTTCTCTGAGAAGTTTCTAGGAATGTGCCCTGAACTGCGGAATGAAAGAGCATAGTAGATGACCTAAAGGACTCCTCACCAAAAATGTGAGGGAACACAAGATAGAACACCAAATATTCCAAAAATGTTTTGATCAACATTAAACCAGCACCCAAGGCAGCACTTCCAAGTGAAAAATAGTTCAGTACATTTTTATGTTTGAAATCAGAAAGGGATAACAGTTAACTGAAGTGGGGAAAAAAAACAACCTTCAGCAATAAAATAAATATAAAAATGGAAGTGTTGCTGTCCAGGCATGTCTGGGTTATCAGGGGACCTGGTTCATTGGCATAAAGCTCCTGGACTCTGCTCACAAGGACCAGACTGTTGTGGTATGAACCTGCTTGTGCTGGGTGCAGATACAGGAAGGTCCCCTCGGGAGAGCAGGGAAAAGTAAACAGGAAAAATACAAATTCATGGCTAAAGATCTTCTATCACACTTCAAACATATTGAAACCTGTGTCTGTGTAACCTTACCATCCGTTTGGTAGTTCAGAGCCACGAGCTGTACGCCATGGAGCCAGAAGATGAGGGGGTGGGGATTGGAGGAGTCGATGCGCGTGGCAGCGGGGTAGGTCCTCAGGAGCTGGCAGGTGGTGTGCTGGATCAGTTTCTGGGAATAGCGCCTGCAGAGCCGCTTGGCAGCGTTCTCGTTCAGGGACGAGATGTGATAGCATTTAGGTGTCCTTATGATGGCACTGAGGGAAGCTGGAGAGTTGTAAGGAGAGCAAGGATCTTCCCAGGTCTGCCGCATCGCATCAAAAGGGCCTGGAAAATAAACAGCGCCCTCAAAGTACAGCCACAGGTCCAGAGACTCCAAAAATTCAATTTTCTAGTGGAGTACGTTGTGTGCTTTGGTTACGGTAGAAGGAGGTGATCCTGGAAAATGCCACTACTCAGGCCAAGTGTCACAATCCTTCTCACACAGTAATAATAATCCATGAGAGGAAACACAATGTCCAAGTACTGAAATAATACCATGATTAGATGTGCTAACAAGCACTTTCATTAATAAATACCTAACTGGCATTTGCCTGAATAAAATACTGGAATAAAATTCCCTTCTTCTCATTTATATATTTTACATGAGGAAGAGAGGCAAGACTGAAAGCCAACTGCTAATTTTCCAAACAGACAATCTACAGAGACTGCAAAAGTTAGGGGGAAAAGGCAGCAAAATACTTATATGCTTTAGAATTAGGCATCACACTTCTTCACTTTTAAGACACAGGCCTCTAGAAGGAAATCTTTCCTGTCTGCTGCAGTCATGCCCTTGGGCTGCAAGAAATACAACCCTCCCTGAAGGAGAAAATGAGTTCAAAATATCTGTTTATGGTAATCACTTGAAAGGCAGGGGATCTGGGTCTTATTCCTGCACCAGAAACTTTCCTGTACTTTCTTTGTGTTTCTTTACATCTCTTCATAGGCAGAGTCACAATTTCCAGGTTCACAAACTGAATCACTCTGCATTGTTCAGAGTCTAATTTGCACAATTACACGTTCGGACTTGGCTGAATTTTAGGCTGCTAAATTCTATTTCAGACAATAAATATTATTTTCTGGACCAGCCCGAAAGTCCTGGCTTTCATTTGTACTTTGAAAATATTCACTTATATCTTTAAAAATATAAACTTTAAGATACTTTAAATGTACATTAGTTTTGAATTGTTTATGAATTAGGGCCATCATATTTCTGACCAAGTAATCCTAATATTCCATACTCACCACTTCAGTTGTAATAGTGTTACTGTAATAGCTGCTGTGCTAATGAAAAACCGTTCCAAAGCTTAATGTTTTACACATTACAAAGCATTTGATCTTTAATGACTTGGTCTGGTACATGTGTTGGATTACACTGTCATTCCACGTGACTGGAGAAAGAAGATGCTAACTTTACCTTTTCCAGATGCTTTGGCAAGAGCAGCTGACTCCCCAGGGCTCAGCCTGCCAGGATTGTTGCCAAAAATGGACTTCCTGCTTTTTCTTTCTTTTCCTCTGCTAGAGCCAGATGGGTTTAGTGTTGACAAGCCTGTTCCCATAAATGTAAAAGAAATGAGCCAAAAAACTGGACCAAGAGGGCATGACATTTTCCACCATATTTTACACTATTTTGGAAGGCATGAATGTTCCTGTTATATAGCACACAGGACAAGCAGTGTATTTTTCTCCACAATTTAATTTTAACATCTTTACATATATACATATTTTTGTATGTCTATATATTATGTATGATTTTATATATAATGCATAAATATATATACACATTTATATAATGTATATAGAAACCCATATAAAACAATACAATATACAGTTCTCTCTCTGTGATATAACTTTTCTTCATTTTACTCTATGGCTTGAGGAAACTAAAGGTTCTTTCTCAAATTACTAAATGGTCCAAACTGATACTAAAAAAATCTGCAGTAAGAGTCCAATGTATTCATCCTAGGATTAAAAAAAATACTTTCTACAGAAGCAATAAATCTGTACAGTAGTGAATATCATGGAATTCATCTAGGTTACCATACCTACATAAATAAATGCACTATTATGATTTAAAGATATAATTAATATAATATATATAATAAATATAATTAATATAACAATGTCCAAATGCTGTTGGTTAAACAGTTTAACTTCAAAATGTTTTCAGAGGCATCTTCTTCTATTTATTTGTATTTCAGTGTTGGGAAATACAGTTAGGTGTGCAAAATCCATTACACATTCAACGGCCAATATGTAGTAGGAGTGGAGCTGGAAAGCTCTAGTATAGCTATTATTCAAACTTGTGCATTCTAGAAACATAATCATTAGAATCTTGACATGAGTCCTGGTGAAGTAAACAGACTTAATCCCACTTAAGGTCAATTTCTTTCTTTTGGCTTGGAGAGAGCACACAAATAAAAATTAAAGATCAAAATTAAAGTGCACAATAATTATTCCGACACCCACAGTAGTGAGATGTGGGATGCTCTCAGAGACCCAAGATGTATTTGTGATACAAGTTTGTGAACAAAAACCTATTATATGCCTAACTGTGACTCCTAAAACGTTCCACATTAATTCACACCTCCCTAAAGACAGTTCTGAATTTAATAGTAATATTTCAAATACAAATGTAAATCACAAATAGGATATATTGGCCTCTTTCTGACTGAAGTCTGCCCACAGCTGCAAATTTTCAGCTCTCAGTCTTTATGGCACAAGTACATGTACTCACTAAAATTATGCACACAGTTTCAATGGAACTGCTTGGGTTAGTAAAATCTACATAATATACATAAATGTTTTCCACGTTGGAGATGTATTGTCTCTTTGGGCCAAAACATACACATAAACCACAGAAGATGGTAGAAACTGGGATCAAGGAATATGAATTGACTAGAAGAATAAAGTGTTTTGCACTGTGTGCTTCCAGCACTATTTAAACCCAGTTTTCAATGGATCAAATGGATTTGGCAAGTAAGATCCAGGTTTCAAAGTCCTGTTGTGGAGACAGTCACTGAGGAAACAAACTAACCCCATAAATCACCAGGAAGTGCAGTGCAGAGCCCTAGGGCTGGCTGAACCCAGCGTGATGGCCACAGGGTACACTGCAGCTGGGAGTTTCCTCTCAGTCTTTCCCATGCTTTGCATTTACACATCTCTTCCCACAGGCAAGCTTCATTTTTCACTCTGATTTACATTTCACTTCAAAATATAGCTCTACCAATTCACAGAATCATCAATTCACGAAATCACAGAGATTGACAAGGATATGGAAATCACCTGGTCCAACTCTCTGGTCAAAGTAGGACCAGCTTAGATCCCACCATTCTGTACATAAATCCTATTGTACTACCACAGTGTCAGAGTAAATTGTTTGTTTCCCTACAAGCCCTGTGCCATGTTCTTTGATATACAGATTTTAGTGCCCATCTCATGTGTTAGATATAAGCACACTGCTTTACTGCTCCTAGACTTAATCCAGAGGATTGCAAGCTTCCTTACCCTTCTCACCATACTAACATAACAGGCTAAACTGTAATTGCCACCTTCTCACCACACCATGTGTCTCAGACCAGCAGAAAGCCTGTAGGTTTGCAGACCTTAAAAGGGAATTTACAGCATTTTTGTTCGTAGGGTGCCTCTTTTTATGTTCACTTTAATTTCTTGAAAAGTGATACCATAGGGGCAGATAATCTGATGTGATGGAGATGGCAACCAAATTTCATGGTCATGAGCTCAGGTGACTCCCTGCTCCCACCACTTGTTCGTGCAAATCTTGCTTTTATGTACTCAGTTTCTCTGCTCACTGTGTAAGGATCTCAGCACCAAGGTGACGAGCCATGTGCAAGGAGCAGTGCTCAGGGGTGCTCCACTGCCCTCAGCTTGGGTGACCCCAAAGAACAGACCTTCAGCCTCTCAGATAATGGTGTAATGATATCCAACACACTGAAATTCAAGTTAAGCAAGGACTGTAAGGTCAAAGGGCACAGAAACAACAAGTGCCATGGCGGGTTCCAGAGGTTTTATAAATAATAAATGTTATTTTCTTCACATGATAAATTCTGTTTTGACCAGGGAACACTTAGGGAAGTCTGTGTTACCCAGTAGGTTAGTGAACATTATGGTCCTTGTCCTTTTTTATAGTTACAAATCAGTGATTAACATTCAGGGACGTAGGCAAGTGTAAACACAGAACACAAACATATGAAGACAGGAGAAATAAAGTATTTACACCATTGATCAGACACTGACATGAATCCTGCCCTCCCTATTTCCAAAACTCTTGCATTTTCTGAGGTGGTTAGGAACACAGGCACTACAGCTGCAGGGTCATGGATCTACCAGCTTGTTCCCATCATGAATGGACAATACTGGGCACTGCACCATGTCTGTGCCTCCAGCCCAGCAGAGGAATCCAATCAGTGGCTTGGTGGCCATGGGAGCTTACATTACTTCAGAAGAGGCAGCATTTGTCTCAAAGGACACAAAGTTTGTTGGAAAAGTAATTTCTACAGCTTTATGTGTTCTTCTATCAAAGGAGATAATTTTCTTAACTGTTCTATTCATGATCCCTTTAAAGCAAGAGAAAGAACTTTGAGAAGGAAAGCAGGTATTTATTTAATAGCCAGTATTGCATTAAAAATTAAGTATCTCAGAGTTGTCTTAGAACATCAGAATTTTTTTATGTGTCAAAATGCTTGGAACAACCCAAACTATCCCTGTTTAATCTTGAATATCTTTCTTTAAAAGAAATATTTTACTTGAAAGATATCTCATTTCTGATTTCATTAAAAAGAGTATCAGATTTGAATTTTTAGAAGTCATTATTT